AGATATTCACACGAATAATTTTCAAGGCTATCTCAGATGATATTTTTAGTCGTATTCTGCAAGTTTATTAAGAGAATATAATTATTAGTACTTAAAACTTGCATACTTTAACTGAAATAAGAGATGTATCGAATATTTTCACTAATATTGATACTGTTTCATGAAATCATCTTCTAGAAGAAAATAATTTCATTATAATGATCTTAATATAATCATATTTTTAGTCACTAGATTAATTGACAGAAGAATATTCTTATGTATTTTTATGAACGTATCAAGCAAGCTTATCTTTGCTTCGCTTGATATGATAAATAATGACAATGTTCATTCTCAAACAAGGATAGATACGACATTGTAATTGATTGTAGAAAGATTGAAAAGAACTAACGTTGAAAAAATATTAATGTAAAATATGATCTGCAAGTATATTTCATAGTAGAAGAATATTTTGCTGTGTATATTAATACTAACGCATGTTAATAAAAATAATATTCAAACCAAGAGAAAAACATAAAACTGTAACATGTGGTTTTCTTCATTTTCCAAAATGAAACTAATAAACTATCTAAATATTTCATAATGCTGTTCTCAAAAAGGTTCTTAATACAGCACTAGATTTCAATTGAGGTTGTGGATGTGAGATAACAGAACATTTAGACTCACATCCTCAAGTGGTAATAATTCATCACATGGTGTAAAAAGTTCAAATGATAGCGGAAATACATTAAAACAAAAGAGTCTATGTGCTTACCGTGATACAGCAGAAGTAATTTAAAAAAAAACAGCGTGTTAATATTATGGATAAAACTAATGAAGAACTCGTGTTATTTTCAAGGATCAATCTTATGAAGCTACTCTGATTTGTGTCATGAAACATCATTTTTCTCATTTGCATCGATGAGTGTTCCGAGTATTATTGTGTATCAGCATTATCGGCTCTATTAAAATAGCAGTGAGCAAATTTCCGAACAAGGAAATTTTCCTGCTAAATGTTCATATTTTGGAAACTATAACCATCTAAAATGCAGATTTCAGCAAACCAATGTAACTACTGCAGTATCATTCAAAATCAAGCAGTACCAAAATAAAGAAATTTCCTAAATCAATCGGTTCTTTATCAATAATTTTCGAGAAACGACTGAATTTAGAAATATACGATAACAAAAATTTCATAACATTCGAAACTACCTTAACATATGAGAAAAACTCTTACCGGAAGTTTCTCAGAAACTTTGTTAATTTGTACGAAATTAATATTATTTCTTTATTTTTTTATCACATAAATATGACAAAATAGACACAGATTTGAAGATATCTACCCTCAAAAAGTAGAAGAGTATTCGATAATTTCGGTAATTACTCAGAAACTTTAAAAATTATAGAAATTTCTCTTATCTAGTAATTACGTTCTTCAAGATCAAGAATTACTGAAATTTCTTGACGATTTGCTTTTTTGTGGTTATGATATTGTCTGAAATTTTGCCGACAGTTATCGAAAATTTCTCCTGACGTGCGTATGTGTATTTGAATGGTATGGAAAAAATTTTTTTTTAATTTCGGAAATCTGAACATACCTCAATGAATGATAAGCTTATGACAATTTCTCTTGCATAGTCGAATACGTATGTTTGATCACGAGCAGAGAAAGAAGATTATTTTGCAAAATAGACAACAATAGAATATCGATGATAATGTCTGAATTTCCAAATTACATAGAAATGATCAATGTCTTATTCACTCAAATCTTCGTTGAACCTTCTACATAACATGTTTCTTTAATAGAATATATTTAAGTTAAGATCACAAAATGCTGATCAATTTCTAGTCACATGAAATTCTATTGGTAAAAAAAATTTTTTTTTAATCAGTATGACGATGAACATCCAAAATAGGATAGTTTATTTATGAAAATATCATGAGAAAATTTATTTAATATTCATCTACGATGCTGATAATCATCGAATAGATTTTATTAAATAAAGATCATATTCAAGAAAACACTGTGCAATAGATTAACTAATCCCTTTGCTTCGTAAAATTTGTTTATAAAATAATTTTTTCTTTATAATTATAGAAAAGAGAAACTAAATATGATTGCAATGAGCAAAAACATAACATAAGAGAGAAAGAAAATGAAAAAAATCTAGTTACTATTGAGATAAAAAAAAACAAGCACATCTATCTAAAACAGATAATGTCATCAAATACTTACTTCATATTGCATACCATGAAATATTGACATAAAATACTTAGGGCAATCCAAAAGTAGTGGCAGTAGTACTTTTATTCCTCATAAAAAGCTTTAAGAGACTTTCTTTGTATATAGTCTGATAGAGAAAAGAATGCTCTATTTTTCTATGCTATTTGATCATACTTCAACTAATATAATAATAAAAAAATTTCGATAAGATCTGTGTTGTGATCTTATGTGCTNTGACCAAATATCAGTCTTTACCAATCACTTTCATGTTGATATTAGTAATGCTATCGTGTATCAGTACGACATTGATATTGTTATGATTGGTCATAATGGTAAATCTTTTCCTGCACGTAAAGATGATCGTTGGGATGTCGTACAAACCTTTATTAAGGAAAAGAAAGATTTTCCTGTCGTGTGGTAAATCTATTCATGTTTTCAAACGTGTTCACCTATTTCATTCTGTGGGTTTTTTTTCCTTCATAGGTACGACGAAGGAAAAACATTATATGCACGAGAAATATTGCCTGATTTAACGTTACCTATTCAGATAAAAGTTAGAAAAGACGAAGAAACGAAAACATTTCAATTGAACAAACTAAATCTTGTTCGTCAAGATAGAATTGAAAGCATAAATGATTTTATTCAAAAGAAGACGAATGTTCGTCCACAGGAGATAGTTCGAACCATTGAAACATTGTTCAAACAACGTGCTCGAAATGATCTTATCTGCATTCGAAATCAATTTTACGATCGACGTCGACAACTGGATGATCTTCGTTAGTATTTTCTTTTTTTAAATCATATTTTCAATTATCATTGCTCATTTGTAGATGATGGTCGTGGTGTAGCAAAAGGTTTTTCTCAATCATTATTCCTCACACGAACAGGACCAACATTGAATGTCAATTTAACATTTACATGTTTTTATATGCCACTCAATTTTGTTCAATTTGCTTGCAAATACTTACGAAAAGATATTACTACAAATTTCAATGAACGAGAAAAAAAAGCATTTGAAAAAATTATTCGCAATTTATCGAGTAGATTGATTTGAATTTATCTTCTCTATAATCTTTTACGTTTTCTAGTTGAAACAATGCATACAGGTCGTAGAATTTTCTATCGACTACATGAATTTGGTCGTTCTGCCAATGAAATTATGTTTCCTATTGATGAAGGCAATGAAGGAACATCAGATGCTACTGGATCTAAACAGATTAGTGTTGTAGATTATTTAAAAAAAAAATATAATAGAAAACTTATGTATCCACATTTGCCATGTATTAATGGAATAAAGGGAAATCAAAGTAAACCAAACTGGTTACCGATGGAAGTAGTCACGGTATTGATTCATTTTCTTTTTTCAATAAAATGAAGATGATTTTGTTTTTTTTATTGTACATCAGTTAGTTGAATGGCAACGTGCAATAAAACCATTGGATAAATCACAACGAGGTAATGTTTCCAAAAATACAATTATTGAACCAGAAGAACGTTACACTGAAGTCATGAAAATCATACGTAATAATCAATATGAGAGAGATCCTTATCTCAAAGAATTGAATATTCATGTGCATGACAAAGAAATGCTTGAAATTAATGGTATTCTATTTTGCTAAGTCATTATTTGTTTACAAAGTTATCTAATTATATTTTATTTAGCACGTGTACTTTCGCCTCCAGAAATAAAATATCGTCGTCGTGGTCAAGGTGAAGTCATTGAACATGTCAATTATGGTACATGGCGCATTCGAAATTGGTTCTATACAACATCAAAAATTCATTCATGGGGAATGATCTATTTTGGCGATACACCTGATGAATATACCAATAATGTTCTTGAAGATTTCCAAGATCGACTACCAAAAGTAAACTTTTTGTATTTTTTTGCCTGTCGATTTTTATTTTGAATTTGTTCTTTCAGTTATTAAAACGAAATGGTTTTATAATTCATACTGATCCATCATTAATAATAAAAAGTTCACGAGAAAATGATATTCATTGTACCTTACTTGATGCTAGTAAAGAAAAATGGCAATTGGCTATTGTTATTCTTAATAGTTACACTACGGATACGCTCTATAGCATTGTTAAAAGTCATGCCAATCAAAAGATTGGTTTGATGACACAATGTGTTAACTATCAAGCTTTGAAACACAACATTAACAAATTAGAAATGTGTAAGTATTTACATAAACTAAGATAATTATATTTGAAGAAAGCAGCAAATTTTCAAAAACACAGCAAAAGTTAGATTTGAGTTTTAAAGAAACCAATTGTAACGTTTTTATTGAATTGTTTAAGAAATTAAGTGTGATGTATTTTAGATGTGGAAAACATCAGTCAAAAAATTAATGGAAAATTAGGCGGTATTAATGGTGTCATCAATATTAAATCAGCTCTTAATCATTCTTCAAAAGATGATCTTTTTATGTTTTTTGGAGCTGATGTAAGGAATTGATGAATGAAAATTTAGTAATAAACTTTTATTTATTTTTTTAAAAACTTTTTTTTTCAGGTCACACATTCAACATCTTCATCTGATCGACCATCAATAGCAGCTGTTGTTGGTTCTCGAGATTTAACTAACAGTTTATATGCTGCTAGAATTTGTGAACGTATGTTTGCTGTCAGTTTCTTTTCATTGTTATTTATTATTTATTATAGAATATCCCAAAAAGGGTCGTTGTTCAATAGAAATCATCAAAGAATTAGACACGATGGTCATTGATTTACTTCGAGTCTTTGCTGATTCATGTGGTGATCGTCTTCCGAATAAAATTGTATTTTATCGAGACGGTGTAGATGAGGGACATTATCAGAAGGTACTTAATCATGAAGTTAATAAAATAAAGAGTGCATGTCGCAGTAAGTCTGCAAAGATCATTATGTAAAACAATTCTTATTTTTTTTTCTGTCAATTTTAGTCGTCTATGGTAACAGAGAATTACCGCAATTAACATTTATCGTTGTAAAAAAACGTCACAATACACGATTCTTTTTATATGATGGTCAACATACTATGAATGTTCAAGCGGGTACTGTCATTGATCAAGACATAATACATCCATCTCAATTTGATTTTTATTTATGTTCGCAAGCTGCAAGGTAAATATTTTTCTCTTTGTTTATGCAGATTTTATTCTCGAGTATTATAGAATGGGTACATCACGACCAGCTTTATATCATGTTCTTCATGATGATATTGGATTTACCAGTGATGCTATCCAACAACTTACTTATTGGGTAAGCTAATTGTTAGAAAAGCTTTGAAAAATATAAATGAGTTTTGTTTTTATAGCTTTGTCATACAGATATGCGTTGTACGAAATCTGTTTCGATACCAGCTCCGGTTCATTATGCTCATTTAGCAGCTTATGCAGCGCGAACTCTAAAATTTGGCGAAGATGATGATAAAGAAAGGTATCTAATAATTGACATCTAAGATCTCGATTAATAATAACTATTATGTGTAATTTTTTTTTCAGTCTCGATGAAGATACAGAAGAACCAGAAAGTTATTCGTTGGATGATATCAAAACGAAACTAATGACACTGGATGAAAAACTTGTCGATGATATGTGGTTTTTGTAAATCTACGTTTTCAATTGCAATTGTCTAAAATTGTGTTTATTCATGATCTTTACAATGTTCTACATATTTATTTATATGCATTAATTTTTTCACATAGTGGAATCAGACTAAAATAAAAATTGTTTTTTTTTTCTACGTTGTAGAAGAAAAAGATTTTGATATGAATTCTGTATATTCATTAAGTTATCTGCCAATTCATTTTGATAATCAATTTCTTTTTGGTAACAGTGTTCAACGATTTGACTATTTCATTAAAGGCAAAAATATCAGTACATTAATCTAGTCTATTAGTGAACAAATCGAATATTTTGATGAAGCTTAAAAGAAATTTTTTAATTGAATTAATATTAAATACATTTCAACGTTTTGCAATATTATTTGAAAAAGAAAATATGAAAGGATAGAATATAATCTTTCTAATCATTTTTTTTCTGACAATGTGAAAGAATAAGTGACAACAAAAAACAATTTAATTATGCCTACCCGCTAATGTAAATAAACACTTCATTAAAAACAGGATAATTTGCAGCACCAACTAATAAGTTTGCATACATCAAAATAACTATTTACCATCAGTAATAGAAGAAAATTTTCATAAAAAATATAATCATCATCACTACCACAAATAATATTGTAAGTATACGGGAGATGAGTATGATAATGTGTACGTTTCTCTGAAATTAACATAATCTTCAAGTTTTTCTTCGCATAAATCAATTATTTTACATTCTTGTATCAATGTAGTTCGATTGTGCAAACTATCACTGGAGAATGTTATCTTTTCTCATTGTTTTATATGTTATATGTTTGTACTTTATTTTAATTTTGTTCTTTATTCAAATAGTGTTCGTAGTCAATACGATACCTCTTTTAGTTCTACCATAACTAGAGAGTCAGATAAACTGCAAACAATCATATTATAGGTATATGTACAGTATTAAAAGTATTTTTATGAGTATCGTGTAAGCAAATAGTGACTCATTGACGAGTAACAAATGCAGGAATAATATCTCATTCTTTTCTTAATTCTTGAAAAATTTTTTATCTATGATTGTAGTATAATTAGTTCTTATAAGAACGATAAATCTATCAAATAATATAGTAATGTGGAACCATAGGAGATTACAAAAAGCTATGAATAAATAAGTATCATTTGTATCTATTTATGAATCATCAAAAATGTTTATTTTATTAAACTGACTCAAGTTATTTAATGTCTATGTCTCAATCAAAAGATAGTGAAAGAAAAGTAAATAAGAAAGAAAGAATGACTAGTATAGATCTTCTCTTCATCAACAGATTCACATTTACATCCTCATATCCTATTCCAATTTCAAAAAAAAAGGTGGAAGAAGTTTTTTTTAATAATTTTTGATAGAAACAAGATAAAGAGCTGTAATTTTCACCGCTGGAAAGTCATCGAACGGCATGTTGCAGGATAATACGATCTAGTTTTTCGAAAACAACATGTTCCATCAGGTGGCTAAAGTGAATCTTCAATATTCAACTGTACATTCGAACCACACTAATAGAAAACCTTCAGTGTTGCACAAGGTTCAGACTTTTAGATTTCTATGCATTCTAATAGAAATTCTTAATCAATATTTAATACTTTCTTCTTATTTTATGAAAAATTGATTTTTTTTCAACATTTTTTGTATACAAAACTGGCTAAAGAAATATCTTAGAAAAATCTGTAATATACGAATCGATAGGTCTTCATCTCTTCTTGTCAACAGTGAAGACTGCATGTTTTCATCTTAATTCTGTCGAAAGCTTTTCAAAAAATACCATTGGTCCCTTTTTTAAAAAATAGACTATCATTATTTACAAAGATATTCTCAAATTGTAGAATTACTGTTAATATTTCATATTTAATTCGACTTTATCGATTTGTATCATTATTCCATTCACTTTTTTTCTTTTTTCTCTTCTCTGTGTCTGTATTTATATATAACTACATGTGCGTTTCGTTCTCTTCACATGTAATCAGTGATAGTTCAGAAGTAAATTAACTACGTACATATGAGTATGTAATGTCTTGAGTAATTACACAGAAACTTGTTCCTATCGTGCTGATACCTATCAGATTATTTTAATTTTAATTTCAATTGAATTTCATATAAGAACTGTTTGTTTTCTTTGAATCTCGAGTTATTTTTCTTAATATAAATATGTAATAAAAATGCATATTATGTTTTACTTGCTGTTTTTTTACTCTATGTTTTAGATCGAAGATGTCAGAAGATACATTCCCGAGTACACTTGAAATGTTATCTGTAGAACTTTGGCGCGAAATTTTTGAATATTTGAATTCTTATAGTTTATGGTATTCATTTCGTGGTTTGAATAGAAGAATTGATGCAATTATTGATCAAACAGCATTATATTTTAATTTTAAAAAGAAAGGTACTTATGGTTACTTTATGAAAACTATTCTACAACCGATGAAGACTGTTAATGTTCGTTCATTAAATTTTATAAATTTGAATGAAATACAACCTTTTTTCTCGAACTTTTCTCTTGATTCATTAATTCGTCTTCGTTCATTATCATTAAAATTTATGTATTCTTTTAATGATAATTCATTTACATTTTGGAATCAACTTTCATCTTTGAAACATCTACAAGTATTGAAAATTATGTTTTGGAATTGTTTAATACGCAGTAATTGTGTTGAGGAAAAGAAATATATTTTATATTCGATATTTAATAAAGGTTATTGTCCATCGTTGAAATGTTTTGTGATCAGTACTGGTGGTATGCAACAAAGTACACACACAATTCCTTTGTTAATTACAACAACTAAAACAACAAATATTCAATATCTATCGATTGACGCACTGACTTTTAATGATTTAATGAAATTACTTCCTGCTTTGCAAAAAGTTAAATTATTTTATGTCGATTACCAAATGACATGTGATGGTAGTTTTAATGAACTACATCAGCCAATGATAGTGGACATGCCGTTGCTATCGAAATGTGTTGACTTGCATTTAAAGTTATCAAATGATATAACATTAGAACATATCGAATATTTACTAAAACAAACGCCTGGTTTAAAGAAATCATTTATATGGGGTTGGTATCATTTACTTGATGCTAACAGATGGGAATATTTATTGTCCATGTATTGTACGAAATTAAGAAGTTTTCAATTAATATGTACTGGTCATATTTGTAGTGATGATTTTGACCAAGCTATAGATGATTTCGAACAAACATGTCAAAAATCACGATTTTGGAATGAACGAAATGTTAAAATTTCATGTGATAAAGATTTTTCAGTTCATGATTATCGTGATGATGTTAATATTGAATTTAATATTTAAAAAAAATGTAAGTTTAATACGAAATATTCTATTGTTTTCAATATAAAAAGAGTATTTGTAAATATGAGCAATTTATAAGAGTGATTAAGATGAGATGATTAGCTTAACATTTTCTCTCTAAGTAAAACAATATTGAATAAATTGCATTAAATAGTTTTTTACACTGAGAACTATCCTAAAAATAGTGACAGTGACAGACAAAAACAATAACAAGATGAAGCTTTGGGTGGTTGTAAATGTAGGAGTGGATCTATTATTGTAAAAAGATGAAGGATGTTTATTAAAGTACTTTTAATTCAGAACTGAAAGAAGTCTTCCTAGAATAGAAACAACTTTGTTAATAATTACAAAAAAAAATATTACGCAGTTGAGTGAATGTGAATGTAACAATAGAATTAACTAACTCTATTTATATTATTTTATCGTATTTTCTCTTTTCATTTTAGCCAAAAGAAGACCATTGGCTAAAAATATAGAAACAAATGATATGGGAATAATGTCTTGGGCTGTCTCATAGGATATTTTTCACATAAAACTTCTGCTTTTTTGTTCTTCATTATTTCATTTTTGAAATTGATTCTTTTTTGTCATTGAAAGTCTGTTTTTGATCTTTTTCCTGTTTGTCTATCTGTAATTGTTATTATGATTTGTTCTATTGTATTACCAAGCGAACTTCATATTAATTTTTCTTTGTTTTTTTTATTTGCAAAAGAAAGCAAATATTGTAGGCTTACGGTGTGTTTTCTTTTCATATTATGCTGATGAAAAATATAAGGTTTCTATGCTTAGATTCCAAAACAACATACTGATTCTAATTATACTATCTTCACAGACCTTATTCATTTAGCATTAGATATTATTTGCAAAGATGAAGCAATATTATACATTTTAAAATAAGCAATTTATCCTTATAATATTATATACTAATGAGATTGTTTTCTCAAACAATGATAGACAGTTGCTTTATTTAGGTAAATTTCGCTATAATGAGTATAATTTAGCAGCGAGTTTCGTTATACATAATGCATGTGCCGAATGCTTTTTTGGATTAATCATTTTTTTACTGACTTTAAAGCATTCTAGACAAATAATAAGGACCAAAGTTTCATGTTCTTGCTAAAAATGAGTTCAGAAATTTTGTTTGTAGTAATAAAAGAATTTTTGCAAGACATTGAAAATTAACTTGAACAGATCATATTTAAAAGCTCGTTTTTTTTTCAACTGAAACCGTTTCATGTTCAAGTAAATTTTGATAAAGTGCTGATAATTTCACTTGTGTACAAGCTACATTTTACTTCAGGATCACATTTTGTAGAGAATCCTAAATTCTACAAAGTGCCATATTTAATCACTTTTAGTACTTTTTCCAAGCAACTGAAGCAGATAGAAAACACCTATTAATTGGCCATGCAATAAGTGTTTTCAGACATTTTAAAGATTTTATCAAGACTACAGTATAAAAATAGACACAACATTTCTACACTCATCTTCGAAAAGAACATAAAAATTTGATCCGGATCTATGGTTTTTGTCTCGATTAGCGTATAGACAACGAAGCCAAAAATGAATAAAATATTACTCATAGACTTCAGGCTAATTGATCAATTCAAAACTTTTGTTTTTCTTAAATCTTTTCAATGAATATTGCTTCTCTCGAACAATAAAATATAGAAAACTTCTGAACTCATATTTTGACAAAACACAATGTTTTTTTTTATGATAGCCTCTGACTTCTCATTGGTCTCCAATATTTTCATACTGGCAAAAAATGAACAAATACCTACTACAAAAAAAAAGTTTAGGCACATCCGTTAGTTTATTGAAATATAAGATCAGGTTTTTCATAATGGATTTTAATTCGGTTGAAAATAGTAATGAATATTTTCAGATTTCCTTATCTTTTGACGTCAATTTCAAAAGTGATATGAATTTTATCTTACTACAGATGAATCAATTTCTTTTTTGAGTCATTAAGGAAAATGACAATTGTGTAGCTATGCATGATATTCTTCTTTAATATTCATAATGAATAGAGAAATATTTTCAATAAAAGCTGAAACACATAAAGCAATAAAACAGACACATTTGGATCTGATCTCAGAACAATGACGGATATCGACAATAAAATAGGATTTCATGTAGAACTATCTTATTTCTCATGACAAATCTATTGAGATATATGTTTAGATCTTACTTGAAGTCAACTGTATGATTAATATCATTAAATAATATTGCTTTGAAAGTAAAGGTTACTTGACAAGTGGTGAGTTAATTTCCATCATGTTTGATTAATTAGAATGACTACGAATATCAAATTATTTTAGCTCTATTTCCTATATATCATATTACCTTTGATGAATTAGATTAAGTTGATATCTTAACTTAGAGAAAATGATATTCAATGAAATCAATTTTCTTCTCTAATTCTGATCACGTATGAAGATCACGAATAACATTGTATTCAGTTTGTAGTAATAGATGAAAAACATGTTTCATAGTACTGATGTCAAAACTACATACGATTCCTTTTTATTAGAAAAAGAAAGGTAAACAATAAGTGTTACTGCTAGACGTGACGCTTTCACTTTCTGTTTACTTGCAGAATGGAAAGGAAAAGAAAATTGAAATCTTTTGTATTGTAAAACGTTTACACTATATATAGCTACTAATCATTTTTATATGAGTAACTCTCTTGGATGCTTGCACTCTTTCTTTCCTCATCATTTTCTTTCACTTAAAATTATTTTCCTACCATTGGTGATCAATTTCTCATTCTTTTTTCATTCGTCACTTTACACGATAGAAATCGGTCATATTTTTCCTTTTCTTATTCTTCTTCATATACTTTATATAAGCACGCACGTGTTTTATACACGTGAGTGATCTTGTACTCAAGATTTACTAATTTCCGTAAATCAAATGAGTACATCTGAATCAATCGTTTCAAAAAATTCATATTCAAATGAATTGTTCCACGCCAATACTGATGAACAGATGCATTGTTCTTCCAATAGGAAACGGTCTGTTCAACATCCAAGTGAATATGAAACAATAATTCATACACCTAAACGTAATCGACTGGAGATGACTGGTAGCAATACTGGATTTGATTACCATTCTACCCAATCTAATCGAAATCAACAGGAAATTATAAAAACAACAGTATCGACAACTAATCCTTCATATTTCAATACGTATCATCAACCTAAGAAAATTTCCAATGACTCATCAGCTCGTTTTCGAGGTGAGTCATCAAGACAATCCTTTCCATCATTTCGTATTATATTGCAAGATGTTGATAAGTACCCAACAACGGAATTAAGTGTAATTAAGGAGCTAAATAAATATTTTAAATTAAATCTAACTTATGGTCGTTATGCAAAAGCAGCAAATAATCAAATATGCTTTTTACTATATACTAATACAACAGCTCAGTTTGAACATCTTATGTGTGAATCAAATTGGCCGGATAGAATATGCAATAGCGAGTATACTTTAGATTTACCAAAAAAGATACCAGTATCATATTCAATAGTTGTTCTAAATGTTCCATCTCAATGGAATGTTGAAGCTTTTGGTAATGAATTGAAACAACATTATCCATCAATTGTACGTGTAGTACGTTTATTTATAAAAGGTGGACGTCCTTTATCTAAAGTTAGGGTTGATTTTTCGTCGTACAAAGAACTATCACCTATACTTAAATCTAAACGTATATTACTCGATGATAATAATACTGCATACGCAGTTGAACAATATGTACCACCAACTCAGGTATTACGGTGTTACAATTGTCAAGCGTATGACGATCACATTGCTGCTCATTGCCCAAATAAAAATAATCCAATTTGTTTTCGGTGTGCCCAGCAGCATCCCTATGATCCAAAGTGTAGTAATCCTGTCCGATGTGCTCATTGTCAAGGTGAACACATGGCAGGCAACCCTAATTATCCATTTAAGTTAGAAAAACGTTATGAAAAAAGCCAGCGGCTGAAATTGTCGAACGGAACAATTAATTCATCAGCAGTACAACGTAAAAATGCCTGGACTACTAATACACGAGAAAATCTTTTTGGAAATGATATAAGAAATGTAACACCAACGACAGGTGCCACTTCATCATCAATGGTTAACGATAACAACAACTATCAATTAGACATTACAAATGTCTTAAACCAGATAAATAACACGATGCTGGTTGTCAAACAACAACAAGATGAACTAAATAAAAAGTTCAGCTTATTCGAAGTGAATTTAAATAGTTATAGTAATGAGATGAACCATATTAAATTTTGTATAAATGATATTCTATGTCCACTTCTTAAAGAAATTTCAAATCAAGTCTATTTAAAAGCTAAAGGTGTTAATAAACAAGCTATTTCACCTTTACATAATAAATTAGTGAATTTTATTTCAAAAAATAGTAATCATACGAATGTTGACAATTTATCCTGTATTAAGGCTATCGTCCAAGACCGTGCAATATCCAATAGTGTTTTCGATCATATGGCAAGTGATGAATCCTGATGCTAAAGTATTCATCCCTTTTCAAAAAGATTTACAAACAATTCCAACGACAAATCTTTCAAAAAGGCAAATAAAAATCCTGCAACATCTCATTACTGATTGGACCACATCTTCAACATTAAATAATGTATTTATTAAATGGGAAAAACGACGGCAACAAACCTTAAACATGCTCAACATTAGAAATGAACTATCTTTCTTATTACTGAATATAAGTAGCCTCAAATTATATCTGTATGATCTTTTCGAATTATTAAACTCGATTCATGTTTCTATTATTGTATTAAATGGTACACGTCATGATAATGATACATTAAAAAATTTTTCGATGCATTTAAATAATTATCATGTCTTCTATCAGGAAGGTACAAATGCCTTTGGTGGAGTCTTAATTGCTACACATCGTTCTATTCCTGCACAACGTGTGCTTAAATTTCAAAATAATTCTAATCTTATTGTTCTTGATATAGGAAGCTCTTCAAATAAATTTCAATTAGTAACTTGCTACTCGCCACCTAATGAACCATTACCAGTTAGTCTTCTTAGTGATATAATGTGTCGTAATCCCAATACCATTCTACTTGGTGATTTAAATGCTAAACATAATTCCTGGTCTAAAACACCATTAAACCAGAAGGGAAGGATTCTATTCGAATGGTTAAATGATAATGATTTACAAGTTGTGAATAAATTCGTTCCTACTTCAACACGTTCAAATGCAGCGATTGACCTTATTCTAGCACCTATGAGCATGCTCTCTGGTTCTTGTACTGTACTTCCTTCTATTGGAAGCGACCACTATCCTGTTATTTGGTCATCGACACTCACAGTTACATCAAAAGAACGCTTCTTCCCAATTAAACGAACATACTGGTTATTATATGAATTATTTATTACATACACATCTTCCTTTTGGAATGATTTATGTGAAATTATGACAGACAAAGTTGAGTTTTTCTGTCTCTATGAACGTTTCTTATCATTGGCTTCTTCAAGACTAACTTATGTGTCATATTGTAATACATATAAGCCCTCAATTCCGCCCCAAATAGTTCATCTGATTCAAATTAAACGTCATTATTTGTATTTGGTCAGGAAAACAAAACTTCCATATTATATACTTCAGTTAAAACTTTATTCACAACACATACGTAAAGCGCTTTATTTCCACAAAAGAAGAACTTGGAGCAAATACTGTGGAACTCTAAATAGTTGTGATGTTAAACAATTCTGGAGAAAAACTAAGCGACATTTCTCATCTTATTCGCCTCCTATTGATGGAATCCTGCAGAATGGTGTAATAATAACTTCTCCAGAGAAAATGTGTTACATCGCTAAAAACTTTTACCTGGATCAATTCTCTGAACATAACAATGATCAGTCCATCATTGAATTGGAGGCAGATGCTATAGACCAAGAATTATATATTGAAATTCAAAATTCAAAATTAGACCACTTTCAAATTGAATTTATTGATGTTAAAAAATCTATTTTATCGTTAAAGAATAAGAATTCCACAGGTTTAGATGGAATTTCAAACAGAATAATTAAGCTTTTACCCTCATCTCATATTGTATTTATCACTTCATGTTTGAATTACATGGCTGAACACGTTCGTGTTCCTCAACATTGGCTTACAGCTAGAATGATTCTGTTGTCAAAAACTAAATCGTCAATTGCTGAAATAAATGACACCCGCCCAATTTCACTACTTCCATGTTTTTCAAAATTAAATGAGAAAATCTTCTTAATGCACTTCCGTAAATGGATATCAGAGAATGGTCTTCTTCCTGAAGAACAGACTGGGTTTAGATCTGGACACAATATGTCTACCAGAATTGTAGCTATGGTTGATCAAATAGGCCAAGGCCTTGCAGTTAATACCGCTACAGCTGCATTATTCATTGATTTTAAGACGGCCTTTAACCAGCTATGGTTTAAAGGCCTTTGGCTAAAGTTAAAACGTCTTAATTGCCCTTTATATATCATTACCTGGTTACGTAATTATCTTCTGGGACGTTCAGCATTTATCGAAATTAAAGGACATAAATCAACATCTTTCCCATTGTTTAAAGGTGTGCCACAAGGGTCATGTTTAGGTCCTGTTCTATTCATCGTTTTCCATTATGATATATTAAATACCGTGTCTAGTTTACATTTTAAACATCTATTCGCAGATGATTTAGCAGTTGTGGTATCACCTTCAGTCACGTGGTCATCAAATATGATTATTCCTTATCTTTCAGAACAGATCACAAGTGTAATAAAGGATTTATATCAATACTCAATTATCTGGAAACAGCCTCTAAATTTCAAAAAAACATATTGGACTCTTTTTCACCGGATGGTATCACCAAATATTCCTGTTATTCACTGTGATAAAAATGTTGTTGAGCATGTTTCTAAATTTAAATATTTGGGTATTTTTCTTGATGCTAGACTTTCCTTTAATTGTCATCTTGACTACATTAAATCCAAAATTAACAAAAACATTACTGTATTTAAACGTCTAGCAGCTACACGAATGTTATCCAAACAGACTTCGTATAAGCTATATTATGCTTATATTCGTCCTTATTTTCATTCTATCTTTAATATTTATCCAATCTTATCCTGCACCAAGCAACGACAACTTGAAGCATTAAACCGGAAAATATTTCGTATTATTAACAGATGGTATGATGCCACAAATGACGAAATAGTTAATCTTCCTACCTATAAATCAATTGAATTACTTACTCGACTACATTACACAAAATTACTAACTACAATAATGCATAGTAATCCTGCGGTGATTGCTGACTATATTCAACAGAAGATGTATTTGTTATTCTTAAGAGAGTACTACATGAATCCTGCTCTTTTGAAAGAAAAGCAAAAGATTGTAGATAAAGGAAGAACCTCAAATCGTATGCTGTCATTATTGACGTCCTGTAATCCTTCTCTATTCGATCATGTTTTCTGCTATAATGAAGAATTGGCATAGGACGCATACTGTTGACAAATGTCTATCGTGCTAATAGAAATCTATTCCTTTTCTTTTTTTTACCATTATATACATATATTGTAAGTGACGACGTGTGGAGTATAACCTTACACTCAATCAATCTTTTTTTGTTATAACCATATTAATCATAATTGTATTTCCTATCAAATTTTCAACCTTGTTGTTCGAAATTAATACACTCTATTTTGGTTTTTTTTTGTATGACTAAAGAGACGATGTTCGTCTAAGTCTTTCTTCGCTTTTCTCTTTTACTAAATTATTGAATATTCTCCACTTATTATGATAAATAAAGCAATATACTACTACTATTCTTTTGTATTAATCTTGCACATAAACATTTCAAGCTAAGTTTTGTTCTAGTTTTAAGAAATTGCTTAATATCTGAATTTGTTGCAACATCAATGAGTGTTTCTCCTAAAGCATTGGTATAATCTAGATGAGCACCAGCATTACAGGGATATTGGATCAAAGTGTCATCAACTATATTTGAATTGGAAACAAGTATATGAAGTGATGTGTTTCGAACGGTATCTATTGCATTTACATCAACATCACATTGTAAAAGCATACGAGTTGTATGTAAACACGGATATCTATAATAATAGATAACCTTTCACAAATAAGTAAATTAACATAGAAAACATGCTTGCAAATAGAATCGATGAAACAGTTTTTTTGCAACTGTGTGATCATTTAGACTTAAATGTAGTAGAGAATATCCGTAAGTTTGGGTAACATATTCACGCTGAACAATAAGACGAATGTGCCGATAAAAGAGCTTACGACCATCATGTGAAATGATTGATTTTGACAGAATCTGAACAAGAAAACCTCGATATAAGAAACAAATAATTTCTACTAAATACTGCAATGCTTGATTAACGATTGTTATTAAGAAAAATAAAGTATGTAGATTATAATCAAAATCCTTTGTATTATGCTCTAAATCTTCAGCTATTACTGTTATTATTGTTTGCAGAACCACGGCTGGTATAGATAGTGATTTACGTATCATGTCATTAAAAATCCAAGTCCACTGACGCAAACCATTATTGTTGATAGATGATGAATGTTGTCGGCGTAAATTAAGTTCGTACAATCAAAAACGAATCTCTTGATGATGCTGTGCATTATCAGCTAGAACGGCACCAGAAAATCGAAGAGAACGACAGTATTTTGCATTAGTTGATTCAAGCAAATGTTCACGTACAAGTAATGCTTCAGTGTACATATAATCATCATTTAGTTGAATTTCTTCTAGCTCATCGATTTTCTGACATTCTTCTCGATTATCGAATACATCGACGGTTGATAACCTTAGAACTTTAGAAAGATTATGTTGAGATCGAAGTACAAGTGCTCGATAGAAGTATTCAAATGACTTTTGTAGATTAATAATACCATGTTCACGACAGGTAAAAGCCCTTTCAAGTAATTCTTGCGCTTCAATTTGTTCAAGTAATGAACATTGTGGAGAAATAAAATCGATGAGATTAATTCGTCTCTTTTCAGCTGCTAATAATAGTGAAGACAGGCTATCATAATTTGCTCAAAAATTTCGCGCATTATGATTTAACAAAAATTGAACTAGTTCAAGTGGTTCACGGTCAACAGCAAAGTAAAGTTGTTCATGATAAACACTTGCAATAAGATTCGTTTCATTATTTATTTTGGCAATATGTATATCAGCACCATTCTCATTCAAATAACGAGTCATGTCAATATTACTACTTCAGCAAACACAACGATATGCTGTTGAATTCGTTTTAGTTGTGTGATTAATTCGAGCTCCATGTTCGATAAGTAATTTCACGATATGGAAATGATTGATGGCAGTTGCTGCCCATAAAGCAGTCACATTTTGATACATCAATAAACTTCGATCTTTTCAACAAGTTGCATATCATTTAGCCGTTCAAGATCGAATTCAGAATAATTAAGCAATATTTGTATTATGTCTTCGAGCTTATTTAAATAAGCAATAATAAATAAGTAAAGCGCATTTTTGTTTGTCCGGTTCGTCATATATTCGATTTAAGTAGATGTCAGGATTGTTCATTGTCGACAAATGACTTTGGAGTGCTTTGATATCTCCTTGACGGACAGCTGATAATAGCAAGTTACTCATTTCCTTTTTCAAGTCATCATTGACTTTCATCGTAATTGTAAACCCGCACAAATGAAACATGATGTTTTACCTTGAATTTATATCCACACGTGCAAGTTGTATTTCTTGGATTTTTCTTCTGTTCTTCTACTTCCTTGCGCTATTTATGATGGGTCATAGTGCACACAAAACGAAAATTCTTTTTTCGAACAGAACAAAGAAATCTTGTGTCTAGCTTTTCTTTTTCCAAAATATTTGATAGTCTAATATATCTTGTAGAAGAAAAAATAGCATGATCCTTTTACAAAATATGTTTACATTAATATAAATTAATTTGTCAATTTATATTGAACATGGTTCATTTGATTCTTTGATAAAATTAGTGATAAGTATTCATGAGTTTTTACCTAATATCTGATTGTAACGATCAAGTGTGTAAAATAGTTGATGATGAATGAAAGAAAAGATTTACTGATGAAGAATAATTGACAATGTGATTCTAATTGCGCTCGAAAATTGTATGATATTTGAAGTCATTCCATAGGCAATATCGTAATGTTAGAATCAGTTAAGTTTTCACATATTCTACAATTACTGATAATATTTTATTATTTTTGAATCATATTTAGTATCTGCTCATCAAAGAATTCAGTTTTGTATGTCCAAAATCATGAGATAATCATAAGTTTCTAGTTTGAATTATAAAATAATGAACACTTAAAGAACCATATATCAACTTGAAAATGACTGAAAAAATTCGAGCCGATACTTCGTTAAAGAAAAAGCCAAAGATAAGTTTTAACTCAATTGTAATTTTAATTAGAAACAAAAAGGATCGTAAAGCTTTAGTGAATAGGTTTAGAGTAAGAGAGGAGACCGAATGACACAACGGAATACCATTGAAGTGAAGATGAGAACGAAAGTCCTTAGACAAGGTCTATCATTACAGTGCAATAAAGTCCCTATTTGAATTATAAGTATTATGTCAATCAAACTTCATCTCCGACCAAAGATCTGAGCTGTTGATTAGCTTGTTTTTTAATTTTGATTCATATTCGAACTCGAAAATAGGTCACTGCTCAAAACATCATACTTTACAGTTAATTTACGTCGTAATAAATCATTACTAGCGTTGCTATCAATAATTAATTCAATGTTTCGACTAAATATAAGTTTGTGGAGTGAAGGTTTTTACTTTCCTACGAGATTTGAAAGAACTACATATCGCTTCTTCTCGATTTTGCTGATCAACTCATAAATTGATGCGGCAATATGCTCAAAACGAGGGATGAACTTTTGCACTATTAGTTGACCTTACATTGAAACGATTCATCAGCATTTGACAATATTAAAACTCTTAAACTCAAAAAATGATGAACATACAAGAGGTTAAAGTAAAAAAAGTACAATTAATAGATATAATAATTATTTCACTTTTTTCATACTTGAAAAATAAATATATTCTCATACAATGTGGCGTTCGTCTTCTCAAGATAATTATTTTTTTTTGTTCTCTCATCATGCTGTTAAGATAAGAACGAGAGTAGCAAGACAAACACGATAACTTATTACGTCTTTAGAAAGAATACAAAAAGGCCAGTATCAATCTATTTCATTCATCAGAATTTGAAAAAATATTCACATAGTTATCAACATGGTAGACTTGCTACTAGTCAATGTCGGTTGGCTTCTCCATCTTGTCGCATGTTTCTACATCATTCGTCCTATTCGTCATATTCTAATTCGAACCATTTTGACTGTCATGCCATGTATATTATTGACTCATANGACTCCGGCTTTGCCCTTACCCCAAATTCCGTATTTCGAACGACACTCGACATTTTTTAGGGGGGGGGGCGGCTTAACATAATTACCCATGCAGTCCTTCTAAGCTTTTGTAAGTTCTCAATACTTAAGAAACAAATTTAATAAAAGTTTTAACCGAGGATTTAAATTGATACCCTCCTACAAATACGAACAGACATTGCAAAATTGAATGTCATGGTGACTCCTGTTAACATTTGTTGTAGAGAGAGAAACAAAATTTTTTTCTATTGAGTGATATGTTCTGAATGACAGAACGTTTTTGACTGAGTTAAACACTTAGCTAATATCAATCTTGTTATAAAATTCTAATAAAGCCTCCGTATAATAGACACTGCCTACTCTTCTCATTCTACTGTCACAACCACATCCACTTCAAAATGGAAAAAAATACTTAGTTAACCTCTTAATTACATTTATTTCTTCAAGATAAAATTGATGTAAAAACGAAAAAAAGTACTAGAGTCTAATAAGTTTTTCTTTTAAATGTACTCTGATTGTCTAAATCATTGACATTGATATAGAAACATATTTTATGTTCAAAAGAAAAATATTCAATACAATTAATTGAAATATCACATCTTATATATATCCTCGAATTATGTTGCATTGATAATAATTATACAATAATACATTTTGCATTATTAATATTGATTAAAAATCATCTTCACTAATGGATGACTGTGCTATTGGAGCTATTTGACTTTGATGTATTCTTCTTGTGCAAAATATTTCCCAAAATTTCTGTATAAAAGCATATTTTACTTGTCGACGAAATCTTTTTGAAGATATTAAGAATAAATAAAAGGAACCCTAAAATTATCAAAATAAATAAATATAAATCTATAATTATTTTAACATACTGCATAATTAATATGATAAAACGAATAAGCAACATCATCAATAAGTGTAAAAATAGCATCATAAAGTATACCGTGATTTGTTTTGAATGCAACTGCATAAATACGCTCTAAAACATATGGTGATATCGTAATGATTAAAAAAATAACTCGAATAAGAATCATTGCTGTTAATTGTTGATCAAATTTTCGTCGACGTATTGGCATTTGACGTCTTACAATTCGACGAACATTTCGATAAGCTAATACACCAAAACATGTCGAAATAATGATCGGTAATATACCAGAAAGTATCGGATAATAGAAATATAGAATATAATTTAAAAAACTGGAATTATATATAAAGCATCCATATGTTATTTGAATTCCAGACAATAAAAAGAATGGTATACCATGTAGAATCCAAACTATAGTTACAATAGTAATAAGAATTTTAGCTAAATTTATGGTACTTTTTTGTCTTAAAAATGGATAATAACTTGTTGATAAATATTGATCAATAGCCGAAAAGCAAATAATAGAAAGTGGTTTAAGAGTAAAATATGCTCTGAATGATCCTCTTAATTTACACCAGAATAATATTGTTTGTGTTAAATCAATAGCAAAACCATTCATCGCAATACGAGATGTTAATAAAAGTGCCATTTGAAGTGAGTTAGTAATTGATTCTACGATGAGATAAAACTCAGACGGATTACCACGAAAAATTCTAAGACGAGTTAATACAAAAATGAGAGAAATATTTCCAAAGATACCAAAAAATAAAGTAATAAATCCTGTATAGATTGTATAATATTCAGCAATAGAAACAATTAATTGTGCTGTTGATAATGACGACATGATAGTATATATGTAATGCGCACCTTCTTCTAATGACTCCACAAAGTAATATTCTTTTTACTTTTCCTCTTTTTCTCACTAATACGACTTTCTTGTTTGCACCAGAAGATGAAAAAAAAATATCCATGCATTAGTAAACATCATTAAAAATAAAATATATTTTTAATTTTTCTTAACAAGTATTATGTCAAAAGCTGCAGGAACTGTCATTCGAAACAAAATATTCAATGCTTCATAGAAGTTTTTGATACAACAGAACTTGAAAAGAAAAGACTAATTCTTCAAAAAAAAATAGAAATAAGAATAAATAAAATCTTTTAATTGAATATGCGCAACTTTTTTCTCAAACATGCAAACTACTAATGTCCGCGCCAGAATTAAAGAGGGGTTAGTGTAAATTGAATAACTCAACAACGGCAACAGCTAACG